GTTTGTTTGTTTGAACGCGCTAATCTCAGGAACTACTGTCCCGATTTGAAAAATTCTTTCATTGTTAGTTAGATAGCGCATTTATTGAGGAAGGCTATAGGCTATATAACATCACGCTAAGACTAATACAAGTGGAGCACCAATAAAGAATGTTCCAAAATAGGGCTTAAAATAGCACCTTCACATTACATTCTATAATTCAAAAATATTCAAACTTCTTACGTAAATGAAGTCGCATCGGTAAAATTTAACGTTACGCCAAAGTAACTATTCCACGCGGACGGAGTCGCGGGCAAAAGCTAGTTTATTATATAATATTGGTAGCTATTTTAGATTAAAAATGTATAAAACGCGAAACGTGAATTTTATTATTAAGTATTTTTAATTCAAGGAGCGCTTATTCCGTGCAAATATAACGACGGTGATAGAGTGTTAAAATCATATTCTTCAGGCAGATCTGCGTTTCACCCTAAAACTGATTGTTTCTAGAATTATTATTAATGTGAACTTGGTCCAATAAATTGTTAATTGCGAAGTATAGATTTAGTCACGAGAACATTCACCGCTGTTAAACACTGATTCTAATTTGAACTACTAAACTACTCGAGTCAAAAAAATCCTTGGGGCTTAGGTGATCCGTCTACATTTTTCTGCTAACTCATTCTGTTTGAAATATATCGTATGCCTTTATTTTTTTCATTCACTGTGGGCATACAGCCTTTCTGTTGGTGTGTGGTCAGCCTTGCTAATATACGTCAGCAATACCAGGAGCACTACCACGTTTCAGAAAACAGATGTCATAGCGCTCAGAGTCTGTGTTCGTGAAGAGTAAATCATTTTAGAACTGGTCCACAGCAGGGAACACAGCAATCCCACTGAGTGTGGATGAGCTCAGCTCCAGTGGAGAGTGATAGAGTGGTGCGAACAACTCCTCAGAGCTGGATGACGATCTATCCATTTTCTAATTAAACATTCCAAAATAAACCGGCTCGAACTAAAAATATCTGTTACTGAAACTGCGCCTCGAAACTCGCTGTAAAAGCTTTTCGCTTAACTTTCATTACTTTAATGGATTCCCATTAATATGTTCATATATTTTACGGCGAATGCGATAATTTGAAATTATTACCTAATCTATATAGCTCGTAGTTTAAGGTTGTTTTGGACGGATCAAAGAATTTATTGCTTTAAAATTCCGAAAGATTTTCAAATAATGAATCCTTAGAGTACTGCGAGCCTGTACGTGTAAGCGTCCTCTTTTTATCTTTTTTTGGTCAGAAATATCGCCGGACTCCCAACTTGCACTGGGGATGGCGGGCGGAGCATGTCGGAGTCGAACCGACTAACACTTCTTGTCACTCAACAACCCACGTCCAAACCTCGCATGAGACAGAATCATGAGTTTTATTGATACGACAACCTTTGCAATTATAAGCCCTTTGGTCTTAGATCAAGATGAGCGACGGCATATCGACGTTGGATAACAACTTAACGCTGAGCAGAACGTCAGTCTCTTCTACCATCTAGATTCTAAAGCATTAAATTTAGCTTGAAATTGATAATTTCCAATCTTACAATAATTTTATAATCAAACGACAGTATTTATTCAGTCGCCATATACCCTACACTATTGTTGACAACACTACGCAAACATGCACAAAGATACCAGATAGCCGGAGACCCATTTACAACTGATCATTTCAGTAAATGGCATAACTGGTTTACTGGTTTACTGGTGGCAGGACCTATTGTGAGTCCGCGCGGGTAGGTACCACCGCCCTGTCTATTTCTGCCGTGAAGCAGTACTGCGTTTCGGTTTGAAGGGTGGGGCAGCCGTTGTAACTATACTGAGACCTTACAACTTATATCTCAAGGTGGGTGGCGCATTTACGTTGTAGATGTCTATGGGCTCCAGTAACCACTTAACTCCAGGTGGGCTGTGAGCTCGACCACACATCTAAGCAATAAAAAAATAAATAAAAAAAACTTGGTTGTTTGTGCTAATGGCGATGTCCATGAAACGAACTACACCTACATGTGAGATCTACTTCTCCTCGTGCTTAAATAGAGACAACTTATAGCTTTGAGGAGCGAAGCTAGTCCCAGAGCTATCAAATTGGTTTTTCCTTCATTATTACTTATAATTTTAATTCGCATTCCTTATAACTAAAACACTGTTATCTGTCATTCTTATTAGAAATACTTTATAAGAAAAATACCTTGAAAATTTTCTATAAAAATTCCTCGTTAAGATGTCTTGAAATATGGGAAACAATATTTCAGAAATTTGTAAAAAAAATACAACGTAACTTTTTCATTCTGGTGAGAGCTTCTTATTAAAAAGGTATTTCTAACTTTTCTTCGCATAAAGACTTTTTTGTATCTACTTTACGTCCTGCGTCAATGTTTAGGGTTGTGCCAGCCTCAACAATAGTGATGCGTCGACATCTACATACTTAAGTCTTTATGAAGTTACTGTTTTACAGGACTGGCTATTTGAATCTTAATGTATGTAATGTATGGCTGGCAATAAATACTAAAATACAATGAATTTTATTTTGAATAATGGAATTATATTTTCAAATTCAGTCATTGGTTTATTTATGAATTCTATATAGGTATTTTCATACAACCCAGACCCAGGGATTCGTTCTGCCATTCTAAAAGCGCTGATGATAAAGTCACTAGTTATGTTAGACATTCCTAGGGTTTTCATCTTTATTTTCAAATATTGAAGTACTTGCCGCACGGATCGTTTGTCTTCTAAATAAGCTACAACCAGAAACCACTCCTATCGCCAAGTGCCTTCATACCAGAGACATCATAAATTTAGGTACCACTACGTTATCAAGCTGACCGAAAATATTTCAATTAAATGGTCAGCATCCGGCGTTACGCAAGAATAGGCCCCCGGTCTCTGGAATTCGACGAACATTTAACGAAACCAGGCAAATTCACGAAACAGCCAAAGTTCTGTAAAGTTAAAGTTCTTGTGGCTATCAACTTACACATTAGGTAAGTTCTTGTCGGAGACGGCTTCTCGCGTAATGTTTTGAGGCGAGCTTTTGCGACTAATTCCCGTATTCCATTTAAAAAAATTCTTAATATAAACTTTAATATTCATCTCGTTCAAGTTTTATAATGATAAAATATATTAAACTTGTTTTCTGTTTAAATGGCATTCAAACCAATTTATACCAACAATGCCAACATGCTGTCAGTCTTACAGTCAAACGCGAAATGTAGGTTGTGCCCAGTGAATTAACAATAAACCTTTAACACTACGTGGGTCGTGAGCACGTGCAGATACCTAGTGCATAAAGTGTCCCAAATCGATGCCATGATTTTAGCATTTTGTGAATTCGAGTGACTTTCAAACTATTTAGAGGTCTTATGCTGACATCTGTTATCTTCTGAGGACAACATCCTTTAAAATTGTTTCATGTGGGCTCTCTTCAATTTTAGTTTGCATGCGCATTCACAGATGGCGCTGTTTGCTTTGTAATATCTGTGCTTAGTAGTAAAGTAATCAGAAAGCCAAATTTATATCTTAAATAACAAGTACAAAATATAGAACAGTTCCACATTTAAGCTAGACCATAATTTTTACAATATTTCCATGGACAACATCAAGGAAATCTGGATAAATGACTTACTCATATTGTGATTGTTGTGGTCATAATCTAATTTTTTTTCGAGGTTTTCGTCTGTCGACGTCATTCGAACCTATACCGAAGATCTTAAACGAGTCTTCTACCAGGTGGTATATAATATTGCCCTAAAGCGACTGCTTCTTTAGTATTATTATCCACATAACATTTAACATAATTTCCTATTTTTCCTACGGACGGTGGAGCGTATTGTGCGCCTGCAAGACTAGACTAGATCACCATGTCTATTTTGGAAAAGTTCCTTAGAGCTTAGAGCTTAGAGAGGCTTATATATCAAAGCACATATATATTCGGCGTTATAGGTAGTATCCATTTGTAGTTAAAGTGGTAAAAAGCTTGTCGAATTTATTTATATAGTTCGGAAATGTAATCAGAGATGGCACTGATATCAATTTTTTAAGTACGGTTTAGAGCAGGGGTCGGCAACGCGGCGCCCGCGGGCGCCATAGCACCCCCGATTGATTTTAATGCGCCCTCGCTGGACTAATAATGTAAATGTATGACAGCCAGAGCTATTTACTTACTCTTGTCAAACGGCGATATACAGCAAGTAGTAGTGAGTTTAGGAATGTGCATAGATTAGCAGTTTGCTAACCTTGAGCGTATCTAATAACAAGCACGTATTTTTTGTTAGTGTGTGAGACCATAACCCTGCATTTAAAACTATCCAGTAATCCGAAATAATTATTTTCTTTCAATACCGAAAAAGCTTAATAGCTCACATTTAGATTTTTGTTTAAGGACCGAGAACTCTAAATATATCGCCAATTATAATAAATTAGCTGAAAATATGGACACCCAAGCTTCAAACTGAATTATGTATATGTATCATTATGTATGACACCAACAAAATAAAGTTATAAAAAATCTGTTTTTTTTTAATGCTTATTGATACCTGTTGATTATCTGTAAAATATGCGCCCTCGGTGATTTTCAAATTTAGTATTGCGCCCTTAAGGACAAACAGGACCCCTGGTCTAGAGCTTTCCTCGAATTTTAAAATTATATGAGCAACTGTTTTAAATTAATCTATAAAGTAGTTTAAGTTTTACTTCACAGATGGCGCTGCGATTTATATTCGCACATACCTTCTGTGGACAGAAATTCCCGGCTTTTGATTTACTGCCATCTAGCGATTCTTTATAGAAACTGAGCAAGGGTTGAGTTCTCTGTTTCTAAACTGGCACCCTTCTTTCCAATCAATAACCAAGTATTGAATTGGATAGAATTAGTATCATGAAGGTATTATCTTAGGCAAAATCTGTAATTCTTTTTCTCTATTACTTTGCTGATGTTTGAAATATCGTAATAAAGTTGTATTTTGTTTACCTTTAACAGATGAGGATCCCTTTCTGCTGCATCCAGCATCGACTCCGCTTCACTCAGCCAAGCGACGAAGTTCTCCAGAGAACGATCAAAGTTCTGCAGCGACGACACCGCTGAATGTAACGCCTTGCCTCGTGCCACAATACTGGTAATAAAAACATTCATCTTACCAATGGTTCATAACTAGAAAGAAACTTGATATACACACCACCACAATATACCTAGTATACACATAGCTCATAGATTTTTTGAATTTTATGAGACTACGATTCATTCAGATTTTTAATGTCAAAAATGCGTATTTTTGATCAAGCAAAATTCAGATCATGCAAATATTTCAATACAAAGTGCTACCAGAATAATGTAAGAACAATTTACTAATCATGAAAACCACAATGAAAACACGAGTCCCCTAATGTTTGCCGACGAGTACTGACCCTTTGTAATCTCTAAATAGTGCTGGTCTATGTGTCAATCAACGAGATATTACGAATTTTTACAAACTTGTATTGTACGTGTAAGATTCACAACTTGTAAAGAAATATTTTTACTGCAAATTTGGATGAATCGACCCTTTAGTACTACTACTGTAGTTCTTTATTAAACTACCGAACTACCGCGCAAAAAATATTTTTAATATTTTATGAAGGCCTACAAAATTGAAAATAATAATTCTCAAAGGTCGAGTTAAAAGGCATAAATTATTCTGCTTCCAAAATTAATTAGCAAGTTTCGCGGCACGCTGTTTACGTTGTGAAGCATCTGATGAATATTTAGGGACCCTTGTCGTTCATCAAAATGTATAAGAACCGGAGCGACTGACTGGTTCGCGGCAGAAATAGGCAGGAGAGCGGCAGATGTCCGTGCGGGCTCGCAATACGTTCTAACACTAGTAGTGATTTTATTTATTGCTTAGATGGGTGGGCGAGCTCACAGCCCACCTGATGTTAAGTAGTTACTGGAGCCCATAGACATCTACAACATAAATGCGCTACCCACCTTGAGATTTAAGTTCTAAGGTCCCAGTATAGTTACAACGGCTGTCCCACCCTTAAAGCCGAAACGGAATACTGCTTCACAGCAGAAATAGGCAGGGAGGTGGTACCTACCCGTGCGGATTCACAAGAGGTACTACCACCAGTGTTCTCGTGCTTGTGCAGTGAAACTTACTTATTGTTTAGTTCGTTGTATCTGTGGTTGATGGCCTCGGTGGAGCGCTTGATGCGTGACGTGTCATCGTTGCGGTACACGGCTATCAGCCGCTGGGTTTGCTGATTGAACAGCTCGATCTGGTGCTTGTACTGGTGGACCTCTGCGTGGAACGACTGCGAATAAAACAAACTTGACTATCAACACGGCCTTACAGAAAAAGCTAGTCTTGACATGGAATTTTTTCTCCTACCGACGCCGAAAGTTCGGTTTCACCCCGCTGTACAGGGAAGAAAGTCTAATATTTCCTCCCTGGGTACTGACAAGTGCGCATGCGCGTTAGTGTCTACGTCTGCTCTCACGCACCTAAAATTCTCCGCCATTGTTGTGCTCGGGTAATTTGCAATATTGTGTTTAGTGTAAAAGTGGAATAAACAAAAGGCAATAAAATTTAATAGTGAAGTATTAAACAAAGATGAGTTCATCAGACAATTCTTATTCAATTGAGTAGTAGTAGTTTATTTAAAAATTAAAAAACAGTTAAATTGTTTTTTTATGAGTATACTATCGACTATTTATGAGTATCGGTACTCCACGAACTTTCGGCCTGGTACGAGAAAAAATTGTATGTGCACCGCGGGAGAAAAGTAGGACAACTATTTTTTATTTTATAGTTTAGATGGTTGGACGAGCTCACAGCCCACCTCGTGTTAAGTGGTTACTGGAATCCATAGACATCTATAACGTAAATGCGCCACCCACCTTGTGATATAGGTTCTAAGGTCTCAAGTATAGTTAGAACGGCTGCCCCACCCTTCAAACCGAAACGCATTACTGCTTCACGGCAGAAATAGGCAGGGTGGCGGTACCTACCCGTACGGACTCACAAGAGGTCCTACCACCAGTAAAAAATCCGCGTGTTTGCCACAATGTACTATAGAAAGAAACCTTAGCCCATCAATAATGCCAGGGGTACCACCCAGTTCCACTTGACAATGAAAATTGCTCAAAGGTCGCTTAAACAGAACCACGACAGAGTTCTGGAATCGCCGAGAAGGGGATTTGTTTCCAAAGCGCCATGGTACGTTACAAATCCATCTGGTTTAATTTTAAAAAAAACGCATAAATTGTATCTTACTAGCTTTGCCATATTATTATCAAAACAACTTCATAACATTGACCCAACACAACAATGTTTAGCTGAACACGATGATACCCTAACCTCGCTACCCAAACCCCGTCATCAGCTATTTGCGACCCTCCAACAGTCAATTAGTACAGATTTATCACACTCTCGTGTGTTACTTGATATTGTGTATTCAATTATCTTCATTCTGTTGGGAGGTGTGATTTGGGCCGACTAGGGCGCCGCTAAAATGAGTTATCAGTTTAGCGGCCTGCGTCTCCAAAGTGCTCGACACGCACACTCTAATGATGAGAATATTTTTTTTACCTATTCTAGTAACTTCGAGGGGTTATTCTAGATTCGCGGAGCTTGTAGGTGAGCTCACAGGGCTAAAAACATGACGACGTTGCTAACACGAACCCTAGCATGAGCCGTACTCGCAGAATCTACCACCGGATCGGAAACGCGAACCACTAAGAAGATTCAGCGAGAAACTCGGTGGGTTTGTATCCAGAGTAAAAGGACGTAATATGATTTACGTAATACAAAATAAGATTTTACCGTTCATACTCGTTCAGGTAAAATAAAAATTTGGGAAATCCAATAAATAAATTATCCACGTCGATGCCTCTATTCGTGAGGTCTGCCGGCACCTTAGCACAATGGGATCGGAGTCGCCGAGTCGTGTAACACAGAGCGACAGCTCCGTGAGGCCGTCTCAATGATTCTCATTGAAACGTTCAGATGGTTTCCGATAATGGAATCGACGACTGTATCGATATAATTATGTTTGTATTCGATTTTCTCATGCCCTTTTTCTTAAACCTTGCCGTAATTCTAACCACCCATCGGTATATGGTTACTGGAGCCCATGGTCATCATGCTGTGAATCCGCCACCTTTTGACATGAAGTCGAAGTCTCAATGACAGTCTAGTGAAGTCGAAGTCTCTGACAAGCTCAACTGTTGTATATACCTAACTCTATAAATATACATGAGTAGCCAGGGCGTTAGATAATAATATGGCTAACATTTTGTTTGGGCGGATTCTGAAGAAATGTAAAATTATAATAACTTGGCTTAACTAGGTTTTGTCACTAAACAAGTCGAGAATTTCACTCAAAGGTGACTTCTAAAAACTTCATTACATACCTAGCGAAGCAGTAGATTACTCGCTACTTCTGCGGAAGTTTGACCCGCCTGCTTCCGAAGCGAGCAAAGTGTAAATACACACTTTATGTTCCGTACAAAGTCAATATATCTCTCACCTTCTGCTCTCTAAGCTGCATTTCCAGGACATCAGCGGTGTGTCCAGGGATAGGCATCGCCGCCAGTCGCGTCTCCATGCGGGTCAGCCACGCGTCCGCCTCCCGCCGCCTCGCCTCGTAGCGCTGCGAGTCGCCCAGCATGGCGTCCAGCTGTGCCTTCCGCTGCAGTACTCTGTTGTTGGCCTCATCCCAGTGCTCGCGGAGTGCTGTAACTGAAATAAGAAAAACACGTTCAAATGAAGTCGTCGTGGCCTAACGGATAAGACGTCCGGTGCATTCGTGTTGAGCGATGCACCGGTGTTCGAATCCCGCTGGCGGGTACCAATTTTTCTAATGAAATACGTACTCAACAAATGTTAACGGCTGACTTCCACGGTGAAGGAATAACATCGTGTAATAAAAATCAAACCCGCAAAATTATAATTTACGTAATTACTGGTGGTAGGACCTCTTGTGAGTCCGCGCGGGTAGGTACAATCACTCTGCCTATTTCTGCCGTAAAGCAGTAATGCGTTTCAGTTTGAAGGGTGGGGCAGCCGTTGTAACTATACTTGAGACCTTAGAACTTATATCTCAAGGTGGGTGGCGCATTTACGTTGTAGATGTCTATTGGCTCCAGTAACCACTTAACACCAGGTGGGCTGTTTGCTCGTCCACCCACCTAAGCAATAAAAAAATGTTTTGATTTTTGCATGTTTTATGTACATTAGTATTCCAAAAGTCATTTAAGTAAGCCCCGTGCGCTGGTAGCATGCACCCTATAGCCGGCTACGGAATTAATGATATCATTGGTGTTCCAGTATGACGAGGCGTAGAATATTGCGGTTCACTCGGAGATTTGGGACCAGCAATGATTCCATGTAAGCGCGTAAATAAAACAACGTTCAAGGCAACATAAGAGAAAAGCCGTGTCGTAGGTACCAAAAGTATTTATTTGGATGCCCGTGCTGCGCTGCAAATTAGGAAAATAGAGCTCTGGTAAAATTAAAAATAATGAGTATTACCGAAACTATTAGCAATGTAGTGGGGACCCACAGAGACAACGGCACTCAGGGTCTTAAAGCCATACTAGATAAAACGTACTCTCATCGACATATTATTTAAAAAATTCATAGCAAGCCAGCTTACATTTATTGTCGGCAGCTGTATTGTGTGGCAGTACGGGTAATTACCACTGTGTGTTTCAAAGGCTTTGTTTTTAAAATTGATACAACCGTGTTCCAAAAAAAATGAGCCTTCGATGACAAGATGGGGACTCTCACTTTTAAGTGCCTAGAGACTCTACAAGCCGTTGGAGACAAGGTGAGCAATCTCATCCTCTACCCATCATTAAGAGCAATAGTTGCTGTAAGTAGAGCCCAGTCGCATGAGATGAAAATCCTTCTAATAGGAATAAGCAAACGTTAAAATAGGTAGGATTGACAAGTGATCGCCAATAATCGATTGGAATGTTTGTGGGAACCAAACTCATATAATTCACACAAAAAACGCTCTCGCAAAACAAAAGGCAAAATGTTCACAGAACTCAATTGTAATTAATAAGTGCATGCACTACATTACACCGGCGCGCACTTCAAACTATGCAAATACAAGAGCACCAAGCGCTTTAGTGCAGTGGCGAGCGAGTACCCTCACCTCGCACCTCAACGTATGCAACTTTGAGGGATCTACCGGAAAAACATATCCAGATAAACAATTAGTCGTCATATTTAAAAATTATACTTGTGTGTATATAGATACACATATAGATATACATCACTACATAGTATAAAACAAAGTCGCTTACTCTGTCCCTATATATGTATGCTTAAATCTTTAAGACTATGCAATGGATTTTGATGCGGTTTTTTTAATAGATAGAGTGATTGAAAAGGAAGGTTTGTATGTATAATAACATCCATTAAATAGTGGAGAAATACTGTTATTTTTGAGGTTTCTAATGTGATAATCAATAATAAAATTTCATGTTTCCGAAGCGAAGCGAGAGCAGGTCGCTAATGGTTTATACTTAAAAAAATAGGAATAATGCACTTACGACTCAAGAAACACAGTAGTCAACGATGCAAAGATTACTTAATTTAGGAATAATAAAGTCGAAAACCGCGGCTGATTAGAAGCTACAAGAAAAGCATTTTGTTTGTATCGCCACGCGCAGCGCATCCATTCCTTACTGTTATTGTAAATTACTGTTTTTTTTTATTTCCCAATTTAATTCACATCATATCGCAAGATTATTACGTAAATCTAAACATTGGCAGCTTAAAGTCGGATAATGGGTTTAATTTTAATTGAATGGGCACATGAATGGGCATTTAAATGATCTATTTACTTTTTATATTATTTAGGAACAAAAAAACATATAGAGACCGCAAAAGCAACAAAAAATTTGAAGACTTCGTACAAAAAAATTTACTGGTGGTAAGGACCTCGTGAAGCAGTAATGTGTTTCAGTTTGAAGGGTGGGGCTGCCGTTGTAACTATACTGAGACCTTAAAACTTATATCTCAAGGTGAGTGGCGCATTTACGTTGTACATGTCTATGAGCTCCAGTCACCATTTAACACCAGGTGGGCTGTAAGTTCGTCCACCCATCTTCCCCTCATCTCAGCAAAAAAAAACAAACAAAAAACGATGTTGAAAAAAATATCGATGTACATACTATTTACTAATAGCAAGAAATGTATTTGAAAGAAGGCGCTGACCCTGAGTGAGTGCGGCAGTGGACCCAAAGTACTCACACGCCCGAACTACGAGCTAAGCAAGTATCGAGCTGTACCTTTTTCGTTGTTATTTATTCAATAATACCAAAAAAAATTATTACAGTTAATATTTAATAAATTATTTAATGTGTTGCTATCGTTCCTAAAGTTAGTCACCTGAAAATTTTAAAAATCAAAATATCATATCCAAATTGTAGAACTATTAGAAATTGCATAATAGTATCGCCGAATCCAAATTCCCGAAATCAAATCGTTTCTCTTTGTTGAGTGTCACACGAAAATCAGTGAGTAATATTCAATTAAAAAAATGTTATATCTGTTATTGCGTTCCAATTAATAGAGGCGGGAAAACTTAATTATTTTGAAACCGCGCGCAACGAATGTTATCACAGCGCGAGAGTTATTTGCGCAAATGAAATTATTTGTTTTATAATTGAGTTCCATTACATTTGATGCATAATTATAGGTAATGAAGCGTGTTAAGCTTATGTTTGTTATGTTGTGTTATCCGTAAATGTAAAATGTTTGTTTTTGCTTTGTGTGAAGCGCTTTCGCACCTTTGAGTAAGGACCTCAAGTGTAACAGTGGGGCGCTGGTGTTGGACACCGGGAAGCCTGATGTTCCTGTCGGGAGAGAATGCTTTAATGAATTACGTTTTCCCGAGAGCTTCTTAGCTTCGTGCAGGTCGTCTGGATATCAGTAATTCCAGGGACGAGGGTTGTTCACATGTCACTGGACTTTCAATTTTTAACATTGATATCTATATAAATAAAACTATAGTCTCTGTTTGTAGTATTGAAATAACCGCTTTTTACTACATCCATATGAATATATATACACGGTACATACACCAAAATAACATTTTTTACAATTTTTGTGTCTGTTTGTTCCGGCTAATTTCTGGAACGGCTGGACCAATTTTGACGAGACTTTCACTGATAGGTAGCTGATGATACAAAGAGTAGCTTAGGCTACTTTTTTAAGACTAGCATCGTCCCGCGGTGTCACCCGCGGTACGACAATAACCGCGGGTAACATCGCGGGACTCAGCTATCAATAATAAAATTTAATGTTTCCGAAGCGAAGCGACGCCGCGACGGCGGGTCGCTAGTATTACAGCATATACATACATTTATATATATATATATATATAGTAAGGAATACCCTACTAAAAAGGTATAAAACCGGCGCGCAGCTCCGTCACCGGCGCATTTGTCGGTTGACATTCGTCGAGAGAACATCGTTCAAAGACTTTAAGTGTTAATTTAGGAAACACGAATTTTATAATAATGTTGAGGGTACGGTGCCTATAAATAGCAACGCCTTTGCTCGAAACATTCATTCGATCGGCGGCGTTCGTGAGAAAAGGTAGTCGTGGACATGGTGTGCGTGAGTCATTGTTTTAAGTCTCTGTAAACTTGTGCTAATTGTTATTTTTTTAAATGGTTTTTCTTCTGATTCCTAATATCAGAAGTGGGATAAAGGACTCAAATAGCCCACAGTAGCGTAAAACTCTGAACTTTGTTTTGTTTTACAATGACTGCTTACTTTGATGCTTTCATACTTTATTTGTTATTTTTCTTGTGTGATTGCAAATTTTGACTGTGATACTGAGACATACTGAAACTCCTAGTACACGGAGGCGACCGTCTCGAGATGATTCTCGTAATCGAAAACGATATTATGCTTTCGCGATCACAGAGATGATAGACAGAATCGCGATACGAACGATGCGCTCGCGCACGATAGAACCTGTCGCGACACGTTCTAACGATAAGGCGTGCGCTGAACAGACCACCGATATTCTACGGACAGTTACGACTCCCATGTCGAATATCGTTGGTTCGCAACAAGGCCACGTAGAATCTAGTATCCCTGGTTCCGAGGCGTCTACCCTCGCCAGTGCTTTGATAAAACTTTAATAGTGATACGGGGCATAATGGGCCCTCATATTAGAACCGCGAACGCTAATCTACTCACGATTTGATTTCATTTTTAGTGGAGGTCAGGTTAGGCCGAGTCCTCATAGGGTTCAGGCACTAGTTGAGTCACCAGTGACTCGTAATGTCACACAGGTAGATAATTCCTGAGGTTGACTGCATACTTCCGAAGGTGAATTCGGGACTATGTTGGCAATGGCAATGGTCAACTCAACTTTTGAGATTACAGCTCATTCTGAACATCACAAAATGCAAGACAACAGACATCCGCCCAGCAGCTTCTGGTAGAAAAGACGCCACCACACCTGTGGTGAGGACTCTAATTACTGATGTCACGACTGAGGTTTATCGTTCGAGGTGAGTTCGTCGAGAACTAGGTCGAGGTAGAGCTCATCAATTGGTACCACGAAGTGAAAAGCGATATGATGCTCGCGTGGATGGGCACCGACGAACAGCAGCCGTTTTTAATGTCGATAATCTTGTTTGGGTAATAACTCACAGTCTACAGGAAATGTAGATCCAGCAATCCGTGGACCTTACCGAATGGTGAGG